GCACCATTTTTAGGTTTATGTTTAATATATATGCTCCTGGGCAACATTCCATATCCCTTTTTTTCTTAAATGAACACCAGGGTACACATTTTAGAAATGTGGCCATAATTCTTTCTAGCATTTTGTTTTCCTTTTCACCCTACAGTTTTTTACCTTTACTCCTCTTTCTTACTCCACCAGCTGAAAGAGAAATGTTGTCTGAAGGCAGTTGAGATAAACAGGTAATCGTGAGAACAACATTTCTATAGAGTAAGACATTTCAGGAGGGAGACAGGGATCCAGCAGGCCCAGGGAAGACTTCTGGGTGCCTGGAGTTGTGAGTCGGGAGAGGAAAGGGGATCTACTGTTAAACAGGGGACAGGGGAGCTGGAGTCTGGCATCTGATGGGCTCTCCAGGGACCCAGGTGGATCAAGTCACCAGGGAGTGAGGGAAGCAACACTCTTTGGAATTACTGGGGAATATAACAAACTGTGGTCAGTAACGGGTTCAGAAAAGGTGCAGAAATAATTATTAAGTTGAATTTTGAAGGCCAAACCAAACATTTATTAGAGATTGTAGACTTATACATATTAAGCTTTGATGGGTGAATTTTTCTGAGTCTTGAAAAACACGCACTAAAAGGGTAGTGATCTAAACGGGAGTGGACTCTGAGGGGCATGTGGGGGAGAGGGGGATGGGAAGAAACACAGTGAATGGATGAGTGAGCACACTGGGATTTGTCTGCCACTCACCACAGCGTTTTCATTAAGGTTGGCCAACATTATGGTTCAATTAACAATCAATTATTATCCAGGAGACCAATCTTGCTCTAAAATTTCTCTCATTACAAATAAACAGCATAATTAACCAAGTCTCAGGGGAAGAGTCACAGTCTCTATTATTATTATTATCCTTCAGTCCCTGTGTATTTTTTAAGCCTAGCAGGAAACCTTTAAACTAAAGTACTTAGGTATATGGGGTGCCTGGGTGGCTCAGTCGGTTTGAGCATCCAACTCTTGGTTCCAGTTCAGGTCATGGTCTCAGGGTTGTGAGATCTCTAAAATAAATAAATAAATCTTTTAAATAATAATAATAAAAGAAGGGATGGACTGGCTTTTTTTTTTTTTTTTTGTGGTGAGAAAGAGAGTGAGCGAGCCAGTGGGGGCAGGGGAGGGGGTGCGCGGGGAGGAGCAGAGGGAGAGGGAGAGACAGAATCTTATGCAGGTTCCACTCCCATGCTTAACCGACTGAGACGCCCAGGCACCCCTGGACTGGCTCCTTTCGAACCAGAGATTCCCGAATGATGGTGACAGCTTCAGTTCACCGATTGAAGGACTACTGTGTTCCATACACCGCGTTCGACAGCTTACATACAATTTTCCTTTTAGTTCACAGTAACCCAAGGAGATGGGCATTATTTTTTCTCATTTAATAGTTTGATATTATCTGGATCTGAAAAGGATGATATGTTTCATAATGGTAGAAAGAGCATATGACGAATGGGAACTTTCCACAACCTCCTGGTCATGTCCAGCAAATAAACATCTACTGAAGGACTGAACGGCGTGGTACCTCTTGACAGTTCACAGGTTAAAGACTGTGAGAACTGTAAAAAAAAAAAAGTTTAAATAATTTATAGGGAAATCAGGATGTATGTGCATGAAGAAGACATCAAGGTTAAATTAAAAAACTGAAAACACAAAACCAAAAACCATGTCATTCATTTTTGTGTATTTGGCACAAAGTTTCTGAATTATTGAACAAATGAATGAAATCAGTCAACCAATTGACCAAATGCTAGATTGAACGATACTGGCTCTAAGAACTAAAATGGTCTAGCGAAGGGAAGTTCATTATGGACCTGGGTGGTGGCAAGATTTCCTGAATGAGATGAGGTCAGAGTTGGGCCTGGAAGAATTAGAAATACTGGAATTATCAAGAAGGACTGAAGTCCCACTGGGTAGGGGGAATAGGGTAAACAAGCACAGATAACCCCTTCCTGGCCCCCTGGTCCGCTTCTGCAGCACAAGCCCTGCCTCCTGTCACTGGTCCCTCTGGGCCTTTTGCTCTGAGCTCATCTGCTCTGCTCACATTTCCTTTGCTTGAGCTCTGTCCAGCTAGTTCTCAGAATGCCTAGAAGCTGGCATTGATTTTGCTAAAGCATCTCTGGATTAACCAGAAATGCCTCTGTCCTTTAGTGGAGAGCAGAAAAATAGTGTTTGTCCTATGAATGATTCTAGGCTTTTGTAAGCAATGTAATGAATTATTCTTAATGAGGCATAAATCATGATGAATATCTCCCATTCCCAAACAGCTGTGAACGGGCTTCCCACGGAAATTTCAGCATTTGGGAGACCTCTTGAGAACTGCAGAAAGTCACTCCTAGTAGTCCACAAAACAACATTTCAACTAGCCTTGTGCCTCTGCCTCAAAGTCAAGGCCAACATAAACACACCCTCTCAGACTTTGGTGACCGGAACACAGCACACAACCCAAAGCTCCCCCATACACTGAGGTCTTGTTTCCCAGGAATCAGAAAAGCATCTTCCAGCTCAGGCTTCCTGAACCCTTTCCAACTTGGCTTCTGTCAGAGATTCCTGGAATGACCGTCACTTTGTTCTTTATCTCATGACAGGTGAAGCATTGCCCTGGATCGGGGTCATGAATTGGTTGGGTTTTTAGAAAAATCCATACTTTCAGTTGTGGGCAAAGATTGTTGGGATTGTAGTAACCCTCCTAGGATGGACTGCTTTTTTACTCTGAAGTCTTCCAGCACCACACCATTGTGTTTCAGTCTTGTCCTCTCTGATTCTGTTTTTCAGGAACAATATGAGACACTAAGAGCTGTACTCAGCAGCAGGCCCGCTTTTGCAAACATAGCTCACTTCTGGATTGAAAAGAGTGGTTTCGCTTTTTACAGGTTGGGAGGAAGCTTCTGTTTTGTTACTGCCTGTGAGCCAGCAGCGCCGTCCTTGACAGAAAAGACGTGTTGCCACCCTGATATCTCTCTCATGAGGACAACTGTAAACTCTGTCAGACTACAGTGCCTTGTGTTTCCAAAATAGTGTTCCAACCCTTCAAATGCAAGGAAGGAAGCTCACAGAAGCTCCTGAGAAAGAAGTAGAAGAACAAGGATAGCGCAGGGAAGTTTAACCAGTGTGAGGAGGCATCAGGTGTTGGTCCGATCTGGCAGTGGGAAATCTGTTTTGAGATTCTGGGGCCAGTCTTTCACAAAAGACTTTCTTGTTGAAAGAAAGTTGCTGAAATTTTTTTCCTCTGGGACTTAAAAAATCCTGGGTCTATGCATTCAATATTTTGATGGCACAAGTCTTGCCCTTTATTTATATAATATTCTAAAAACCCTACCCTGTCATAGGAACAGAACAATAATGTAGGAAGAGGCTACACAGATTTGAAGGAATATTTTTGGTGACCAAGATCAGAGCATCTACTTGTGTGGATTATATAACTCCGGTGAATTTTCACTTCCTGTCTGGAGTGTTATTTCCTAGAAAAAGTGGGGAAAAAGTCCCAGCACTTGATAGGCCCACTTTCCCTGAAGTTAACGGATTGCCCCCAGGAAAGCCGTCAGCATGCGCCAGCCCTCCACTGAAGAAGGACCAGGTTCAGGACCTGGCACGGTGCAGCCGAGTGGCATTGCTCCCAGAAGTCTCTTCCAATAAAGAGCCATTGTGGAATGTGAACCCTTCAGTGTACCGGACAAATGACTGAAATGAAAAGCACAATGCATGTGAGTGGAACCAGAAACATGAATGAGTGGATCACATCGTTTTTCAGGTAACTGTTCTGTAGTTCAGTCCTTGCCTACTGGAATAGTACAGATTTCCATTTATCAGTTGATAAGTGAGAATGATTACTGTCTAACCATGTAGTGTCTAACCATGAAGTGATACAGGTTATTAGCACTGGTGGGGAAAGGAAGTGGAAAACGGCTAGAGGAGGTACGAAGGGGGTGGTGTTCTTCGGGAAGAGACAAGACATCTGAAAAGAGAAGAAAGGGCCGATTCTCCCAACATGCGATCAATACAAGCTCTAGTTCAACCATCAGGGAAATTGGAGACCCTATCTGATTCTAAATCTGGCATAGGGCTTCAAAATAGCTACGGTTTCTATGTAAGAATGTGGTCTGAGGCATGAAGCAGGGCCAGGACCAGGGGTCAAGATCCAGGCTAAAGGCATCTACTGTGCGGCTGACACCCAGTTGTTGAGCTTCGGGTCCCACAGACTGGATATCTAGTCTCCAGATCCAAATACTGAGGGCCAGAAGGAACACGGCGCTAATTCAGTTGAGCCATAGTTTCCATCTGGGTGACCTGGACAACCTCTTTACACAATAGGTGACCTTTACAGCAAACAAAACAAAACAAACCCCTAACCAGATGCCACTCTCAGCTAGGCTTTCTCAAATCAGTCGCTAGGAGGGCACAGTTGAATTAGACCCCTTAGACCACATGAAAGCTGCTCTTCAGCCGGACCTGCCCTGTGTGTGCCTCAGTTTTAGGGCCAGGTGTTTCTATCTCTGAGCCAATTATATTTGTCGCCTAATCAGTTTTGGCCAGAAACATGGTCAGTCTCAAATAAGTCTCTTTCCTTATGATCTTGAACTTGATGTTCGTCATTTGGTCTACTTACTCTCTGCCATATACAACTATCAACAATCGATGCCTATATACCTGTACCACTTTAGTCCTCAAACTAAATAAATAAAATTAATAAAATGAAAACATCCCAAATATCTGTAAAAGGATGCAAATATTTCAACAAAAAAGCCATTTGGTTCAGTGTCCACTTTGTTTCCTCCATTCGTTGTATCTGACCAGTGCGGATTCCACCTCTATAAGCAGTCTACAATGACAACAGGTTATTTTAAATGGGCATCAGTTGTTTCTTTCAATTTATGATTATGCCTTTGCAATAGGCAGCTTATATCTGGCTGAAAATACACATAAATCTTTCTTCCAGTAACCCAGCAGTAAATTCCCCCATGTTATCAACTCACCAGAATTAAGCAAAATGATGGATTTGAGGCACACGAACTCCTCTCCCTGGAGATTCATCATACGAAACCGAGATGACGTAGCCAGCAACATGTCAAAGATCTCCACCATGCCCTCTACACACTTTCCCTGGTTCCTATGAAAACACAGAAAATAAAAAGAAAAAAAAATAGTATTAAAGCACAGAAAAGCTGGGGTTCCGGGGTGGCTCAGTTGGTTGAGTGTGACTCTTGATTGGCTCAGGTCATGATCTCAGTGTTTTGAGATCGAGTCCTGCATTGGGCTCCAGGCTTGGTGGGGAGTCTGTCTGAAATTCTCTCTCTCCTTCTGCCCCTCCCCCTGCTCATGTGCTTGCTCATTCTCTCTCTCTCAAATAAATAAATTTTTTTTAAAAAAGAAAGCATAGAAAGCTTTCAGACCCATGATAAGGTTCACATTCATAAAAATCTACTGGCTCCAAATCTGTAACAAAAAACTGCAGCCCATTCTCTTCGTGGAACATGAATATTCTTTTGAATTCTAGAAGGCAAAACAAAAAAAAAATAAAAATAAAAAGCTTTTCCATCAGTAAAACATTTCATTTCAAATTCTTAGAAGAGACATATTGTTCAATCTCCAAATCTGCCATGTTAAATACCAAGTTCTTCAAAGAGAACACAGGCAGTACCTTTTCTGACATTAGCCATACCAACTTTTTTCTAGATAGGTCCCCTGACACAAGGAAAACAAAAGCAAAAATAAACTATTGGGACTACATCTAAATAAAAAGCTTCTGCACAATGAAGGAAACAATTAACAAAACTAAAGACAACCTACTGAAAGGGAGACGATATTTGCAAATGACATATTCAATAAAGGGTTAGTATTCAAAATATATAAAGAACTTACATCCATTCAACAACCAAAAAACAAATAACCCAATTAAAAAAATGGGTAGAAGACATGAACAGCCATTTCTCCAAAGAAGACATATAGCTGGCCAACAGACACATGAAAAGATGCTTGACATCACTGATCATCAGGGAAATGCAAATCCAAACCATAATGAGATATCACCTCACACCTGTCAGAATGGCTAAAATCAACAACACAACAATAGGTTTTGGTGAGGATATGGAGAAAAAGGAATACTTATGCACTCTTGGTGGGAATACAGACTGATATAGCCACTGTGGAGACAGTATGGAGGTTCTTCAAAAAAGTTAAAAATAGAACTACCCTATGATTCAGCAATTGCACTACTGGGTATTTACCCAAAGAATTCAAAAACACAAATTCAAAGGGATACATGCACTCCTATGTTTATAGCAGTATTTTTTACAATAGCCAAGATATGGAAGCAGCCCAAGTGTCCGTTGATCAATGAATGGATAAAGAACATGTGGTACAGTTATACAATGAGTACTATTCAGCCATAAAAAGAATGGAATCTAGACATTTGCAACAACATAGATGGAGCTAAAGAATATAATGTTAAGTGAAATAAGTCAGTCAGAGAAAGACAACTACTATACGATTCCATTAATATGTGGAATTTAAGAAACAAAACAAATGAGCAAAGAGGAAAAAAAGAGGCAAACCAAGAAACAGACTCTTAACTACTGAGAACCTGATGGGTTACCAGCAGGGAGGTGGGTGGGGGAATGGAGGAAATAGGTAATGGGGATTAAGGAGGGCATTTGCTGTGATGAGCACCAGGTGATGGATGCAATTGTTGAATCACTATATTGTACACCTGAAACTAATTTAACACTGCAAGCTAACTGGAATTAAAGTAAAAACTGAAAAAATAAAGAGTTCTTCAACCTATGGGTAATCAAAAATGATTAAGATTCAGCTAAATGGTTTGTCTAAGTATTTATTGATCTGCTATATAGTCTAGGCATGTGGTCACTATGGGAATAAAAACAGAGCCTCTACTCTCAATATGCTCAAAACCTGGAAATAATATAATCTGGTTTAACAGACTTGTATAAAGTGCTTTTGAAATACAGGAGGAAGTATCATGAAGGACTGTGGCTGGGCTGGAACCATTTGTGTTGCCAAGGATGACAGGTAAGGATTCGCCTAGTAGGTGGCATTCGAGTTGACAGTTTAAGAAATGCAGGCTTTCATCGAGCAGGAGTGCGAAGGCATCACTGGAAGAGGGTCTTAGACATGGAGAGGAAGAGCAGAGTGAAGGACACGGAGTGGTGTGCTAGAGGTACAAAAGAGACAAGAGATTAACCTGGGAAAGGAGAAAAAGGTCAAGTGATAAAGGATGTACCACATTGTAAGAAATTTAGGATTTCTCCCTGTGCAACAGAGCTTCTGCATCGAGGATTTAACATTAGTAGTTGCAACTGTTAAATAAGCAAACCCGAAGGTTCATAACATGTTATATTTAAAAAAGAAACTATTGGTATCTTTTCCATAGGGTTGTTGCAGAAGTTCAATGAGATAATACACGTGAAAGGAACTCATTCATCTTTTCGTTCACAAGCTGAATTGAGGGCATGTTGTCTTTGAGGGGGACAAGAAGAATTTAAAATATCCTATGCATATGCAAACATATATTTGTGAAAAATATAATAATTTAAAACATGAACAGTAAGCACATTGTCCAGCACTTTGTTTTATTTTTAATTAATGTATTTTGGAGTTCATCAATGGTTCTTAACAGCTGCATAACTTTCTTTTTTTTTTATTTTTTTTAAAGATTTTATTTATTTGACAGAGAAAGACACAGCGAGAGAGGGAACACAAGCAGGGGGAGTGGGGGAGGGAGAAGCAGGCTTCCCGTGGAGCAGGGAGCCCAATGTGGGGCTCTATCCCAGGACCCTGGGATCATGACCTGAGCCAAAGGCAGACGTTTAATGACTGAGCCATCCAGGTGCCCCTGCATAACTGTTTCTAGTAGCATAAGTTTTGCACTGAACATGTTCAAAGTGCTAAAATTTTTTGAACCATTTCTCTGTTGGCTGACATTTCGTTTGACTTCAAGTATTTTACTGTCACAAACATTTCATGCAATAACTAGATTAGAGGACTTAAGGCATTTTTAATATTGATAAATAGTTCAAACATTGCTTCCCAAGAGCTTGTACAATAGACTTTTGGTAGGAGAATATATTGGTATAAACTCTTTCTCTAAGAGACCTGCTCTTACCCTTTGCTGATATTTTTCTGTTGGGTTATTAGTCATTTTCACGTTGATTCTTAACTGTTCTTTATATATTGTAGTAATTAGCCCTTTGTTCTATGTGCATTCAATGCTTTTCTACTGGCTTGTCATGTTTTTCTTTTCTTTTTTTTTTTCTGGTGTTTTCTTCTGCAAAATATTTAATTATTACATAATCGATTTGCCAAACTTGTTGTTTAGAATAGTATGTCTTGCTTGAAAAGGTCATTTCCCTTTCAGTAACATATAAACAAGTATCTTATGTTTCCCTCTAGTACAGTTCCATGTTTTTATACTTAAATCTTTCTGGGATTTATTTTTTTATAACAATTGTACTGAAATATGGTCACATATCATATAATTTACTCATTTAGAGTGTACAATTCAATGGATTTTAGTGTATTCCCAAAGCTGTGCACCTGCTTTTCAGGATTTACTTTGGGTGGCATGTGAGACAGGACTCAGCTTTGTATTTGTCCCAGGCAGCTAGGTAGTCTTAACACCGTTTATGGAATAAACCATCTTTTCCACACTGATTTGAAATATGCTAGTACTTTTAATAAATCCATTTCTTTCTTACAACTGTCCTTTAAGGTAGTATTATTTTTTTTGTTGTCAAAAGTGAGGGAATTAGGACTCAAAACTATTAAGTCAAACCATACTATCTATGACCAGAGGAAAGAATTCCAACACGATTTCTTTTGTCTTCCTTTTTCACCCTACTTTAATTCATACTTGCCCCTTACAAACCAGGCCTTGTGCTAGACATAAAGGTACAGAGAAGAAAGACATGGGACTTGTTCATAAAGAGATCCAAAACAGGGGCAAGACAGACAGAGAAAAGACAGGTGCAAGGCCATGGGCTACGTTCCCCCAGAAGAGATATAGAAAGAAAGTCTTACAACTAACGTCAGCCTCCCATTTAACCCACATCAATATTGAAGCAATTACCAGAGACATCTCAGATAAAGGTAAATGAGATTTTATGTAAAGTGTTCAGAATGGCAGGTGGTACCTAGTAGCAGCGATATATAACTACCACTATGAGATATTTGGATAAATAGAGCCACAGCTGTTCAGGGAGAGGTTAGCCTTTTTACCTAAAGCATCCAGAAAACAATTGCCACAGTGCATTCTGCTTTGACTGTGGCATCTGGGTTCATGGAAGCTCTCTAGAAACAGAGGGGAATCTTTAAAATCTATGTTGCTCAACAGGGGGATGAGACGGTGATCACACCGAAGGGTGACTTGGCCCGAAACAGGGACAGCATACTACAAGGGAGTGTTTCTTATGCTGAAGTCAATTTTTTTTAAAGTAGCATATTTTTTTTTTAAAGATTTTATTTATTTATTTGAGAGAGAGAGAGCACAAGCAGGGGGAGCAGCAGAGGGAGAGGGAGAAGCAGGCTCCCCACCGAGCAGGGAGCCCTGATGTGGGACTCTATCCCAGGACCCTGGGATCATGACCTGAGCCAAAGGCAGACGCTTAACGGCTGAGCCACCCAGGTGTCCCTAAAGTAGCACATTTTCTTTCTAGTGAAAAAATAAACAAGGATAGGGGGAAATGTTTGGAGGGTGAAGCTTTAAAAATAACAACCCATAGCCAAAATAGAGAAAGATTCCTTTCTCACTATAAAGTCTCCGTTTACTTAACAGACTGCAGGGCAGGGGAGGAAATCTCAATGTGGGAGGGAGCCTGCGCTCACCTGCTGTGAGCAGAAGTTCACTTCAGAAACGGAGAAAGTGCAGCTCTAACAATTTTCCTTTCTTCCTTCGTGTCCCTTCTCAATAGTCTCCCATATTTTCCCACGAGAAGCTTGTTCTTAAGTGTCTCCCTCTCAGCCTTTCCTTCCCCAGACATGCTGTCGATTCTCACCAGCAGCTCTCACCCGAGCACCGTTCCATGCTTGCTCCTCAGTACCCCACAGGAGCCAGGGCCTGAACCCTCAGCCAGGGCACACAGCCATGTCTCCGTG